AGTATGCACACAGGATTCTGTACTTCCCTCATGATACAAGAGTCATGGTGGTGCTCATCTTTTCTCCTCTGGACAGTCCAGATGTTCCAAAGAGTCTATTTTTATCTTGGATGTTTTTCTTGCTGTCCTGCTGGACACCAGGCTAGGTTTCTACCACCGTGTCTGAGCGGAAAGTCACACACAGCTGCCGGCTGCTCCCGAGCGTCAGCAGTGCAGAGCTGAAGGAAGACACTTGATGACCGTCTTAGATGCCCGATTTTTTTTTCTTCAAAGCAGCTGAATCTCTTCCCTTGGAGTTCTCGACTCTGTAAATGAATTCAGGTGCAGCCTTGACTCTGAGGCCCTTTTGATCCAAAGCTGCATAATTAATAAAAGAAGAAAGGTTTCAAGACTCACCATCTTTTAAAAAAAAAAAAAAAAAAAAAAAAAAATCATTCTCCTTCTCTAATCTAATCAGAATGGCTGAATAATATCAGCTCAGGCTGAAGTGTCATTTTGTCAAAAGGCTAAAAAATTCACTTAAAATTATTAGTTTTTAAATTAATATTCCTCTGATATCTTTGAAAATCCTCCTAGGCTCAGTGCAGGTGTCACCATAAAGCGAAAGGTGTGGAAATGCACCCAGCAAAATGTCTGTCAATTCCAAAACTCTTAAGCAAATTTAGAATCTGGTAAAGTTTTACAATTTATGCTTAAAACTCAGCCTTGGCATTTGGATAAACTGAAGTGCTTTTATTTTTTTTTAATTATTTTTTTGAATTGATATAAGAGAATTGCATTACAACACACATGGATGAGCTTCTGTTTGTCACCCATTTTTACTGGATAGCAACAGACTAGGCATATCCTTCTCTCCTGAACTTCAAAAGACAGATTGAAGATTTTTATTAGGTTGTGGGATTTCATGTTCTTACATGTTTGAAGAATCTGGCTTTAAGGAGGAACTTTGGGAAACGTCTGTTCAAATTGGAAAAAATACTGAAAGAAGTTCAATTTTTACACTCACGTTCAACCAAATATTCACACATTAGAGGATTGTGGCAGAATTCTGTTTTTGGTAAAGTTTTGACCTGCTGCTACTAAAATAAAAACCAATATCAGAAGGTATAGGAACAACACTCAAAGTACTGCCAGCATTTCTGAATCCGACATTTTAACTAGCACAAGCTCGTTCAGTGTTCAGAAAGATTAAAAAGAATCTTTTGTAACACATTTAGCATTCATGTTATTTGCTGGAAGTCTTGCTCTCTCCCGCTCTTTTGCAGCCTGAATGTAAAGCAGACATATCTCTTCACATTGAAGCAGACTATAGAAAGCACATTTTGTAGCTTTAGTTTCTGCTCACCATTTATCAGTTCAACCCAAAACCAATGATTTGTTGCATGAAGCCAGCATGTTGCAAACAACTAAAACTCATGTTTTTGTGCAAGAAATGTTGCAAAAGAATTTCCATGATTTCCTCATGATTAAATCCTGCAACATGAGGAAGTTGTGTCAGACAGAATTTTACTTGGTTCTTTTGGAAAATAAAACGGATATTTTCAAGTCAGAACTTAATATTAGGTTCCCTGCTGACTTGGATTAAAATTTCACACAAAAAAAAAGTGGTTCCAGAAAATTATTGATTTTAAAAAATCGTTCTCTCTGCAGTCTCCTAATTACCTGACGAGTAGGGCTGATTCCACCCTGCGGAGGTCCTCAAACATTACGCAAGCTCGTAAGGACATGATTTCTTCTGCAGGTTAGCAAAATGCAAACCAACCAGACGATTGAGACGAACTTGTTTTCTATCCTCCGCAGCCGGCAGCCCCCCCAGCAGCGAGTCTCCTCTTGTGATCACCAACGTTTGCTCGCTCTCAGCAGCATCAGCAACCCTGAGGTATGAGGATGCAGTGCCCTGAAAATGTATTCACTCACATTTTTGTGACATGCACAACTACAAACTGTATTTTTTCTTTTTTTTTGTAATCAGGATATTACACAGTAAACCAATACATCGTAGTTCAACTAATAAAGTACAACTCAGCATGTCACATTTTAAGAACGTGTTTATTTTTGAAACCGTTTGTTTTTCTTCAGTTTCACAATTATGCTCTACTCCGTGTTGGGCTATAACACAGTCTCCAAAATAAGATGAAATTAACAAAAGTTGCAAAAGGTAGAGGGTTGTGAACACATTTGCAAGACACTGTGATTATATCACAGTGATGAATGGTCATGAATACTTGGTTGTTTTTGCTCTGCAGGGGGAAAAGGAGCCAGGTTGTCACTCCACAAAGCACGCCAAAACGACCCAGAGTGAACGGTTTCCAGCCGGGTGCCTCTGACACCCCCGTATCCGTGCGCATTGACAGCAGCGACACGGATGAGACCGATGATGACGACATTGTCATCTTGGAAACTGCAAGTACGCCCAAGCCCAAACAGCCCGTTGGTACTTTAAGGAAAGTGAAGCAAGAGAAAGAGGAGAGTGAAACTCAAATCCCGATGGTGCTAGAGTGCACCGACGACGCTGCTGTGGACGAGACCTCCGCGGCGACGGCCGAAGCCGAAACCTGCCCACCTACAGCAGTGGCGAGCGCCACCACCCAGACCACCGCTTTTGAAGTGAAGGAGGAACAACCGAGTCAGAATCAGACCGAAGGGAACGGCGAAACGGCTAGTAGGAGTGGTTCAACTCCAGATCTGCCCGTTGAAAGAGAAGTGAAGAAGGAACAGCAGAATCGGACTGAAGGAAGCTACGAAACGGCTAGTAGGAGCAGGTCCATTGAACGAGAAATTAAGCTGGAGCGCGGTGAGGGGGTTGAGAACCACCAAGGGGAAACCTTGGGCAACGGAGTGGCACATATGGAGAGTGATGAAGGTGCCGGTCCTTCTTCTTCTGTTCTGCAGTACCCCAATATCGATGAAGTTCAGAAACAACAAGATCAGCTCGTGGAGCTGATGCAGGAAACGGCCCAGGAGAGAGACGCCTTGAGAGAGCAGCTGAAACTTCTCACCTCTCAGCTTGAGGACATGCAGAGCCGACTGCAGGAACAGTCTCAGGCCAAGGTAAAGGAGTCCTCACACCAAGCCTGCCAGACTGACACTCAGACAGACTACAAGGGCCTTTTTGAGAGGGCCAAACAGAAAATCAATGATTTAATACGGGACAAAGAGGCTTTATTGGCAGCTAACGAGAGCAAGAGCAATCCAAACTCTGGCCAAGATGAGGAAAATGACATTGAGGAGATTTCGCTTAAAGTCAGCCGTCTGGTCCAAGAACTAGACGAGAGGAACAAGGAAAGGGAAGAACTGCGCCTGCAGGTCAGTATGCCATCCAAAATATTCTCTTTCCATCATGCATATAATTTTAGCTCCCTATAAAGCAATAATAAAAGAGCTGACGTAGCGATCAGTGTCCAAAGACGTTAGCAATTATTTTAGGAAGGTGACATATTGAAAACGAACAACCAGACTGTAAAAGCACATCTCACTAAATCAGAGTACCACTGAAGGGGTAATGTGTTCCAGTAATTCAATTCAAAAAGTGAAACTTGTAGAGATGCACTATCCACAGTGGGATATAGTTTAAGAGAGTGTTTCTGATCAAATGGATTATGGATGACAGAAAATCCAAAGTAAATTTTTTATAAAAGGTAGATTGATAAAGACATATTATGTTATGGTCCACACTAGTAATTCAGTTCAGTAACATCAGTTCAGGAATATCAGACCTGATGTTGGGACAAAAAGCACTGGACTGTTGCTTTAAGATGCAAATGAAAGGCTTTCATTTACTTTGAAATCAAGGTCATAGAGTCTGGAAGAGAGGGGAGAACAGAATAGAAGTTGCCTAATATTTTTATTCATTTATTTGTGTTTTTGCTCAACAAGTAACAACAGAAAATATCTGAAATCACTTGATTTATAAAACTGGATCATTTCATAGTTCAGACATTTTATTTGTACATTTTTCCATCTTTGTTTTCCTGATGTGAATTCTCTATTTTTTCCCCCCCGACAGCTGGATAATCTGGAGGAGGAGAAGTCGACTTTGGCAGCCCAGTGTGAGGAGCTCAAGTTGAGAATGCAGCAGCAAAGAGAAAATGCTCAACCTTCAGCAGGGTCCCGCACCTCTGGCACAAACTCAGACGCCTCCAGTTGGTAGGACTGCAGAAAACCCACTAATGTGTTTCTATGAAACCGTCGGGACAGGAATCTTAATCTCTCTGGTTCATATTTTTTCCTCTATTCCTCTTTTCAGCTTGATCGAGCTCCGTCAGAACGTCGGCCGCCTCCTCGTCTCCCGGGTGCCGGCGCTGGACCTGGCGCAGGTCAATTTCGAATGCAACGTCATCGATGAGATCCTCGAGCAGGTTCTTACAGGCACAGACTTCGATTTCCCAGGCTGAAATGCTGCGCTCGGTTTGGAAAGTCACCTCCACTGAATTAAGGTCTTCCTGCTCACCCTCGGATCTGGAAGGAGGTCCAAGCCTGACCTGTTTCCAAAATGGATTGTAAACTTTTGGACTTCTGAAGAACATTTTCAGGGAGTCAAATGAATGTCTGAGGTTTATTTATTTAAAATGTTCACATTTTATGATTTTTGGTCTCTGTTTTTTTGTTGTTTTTTTAAGTGCGTCTCAGTTACAGACCTGTTTTAAAGAGAATCAGTGTGATGTTTGTTCCCATGAATTGTTCCTGAATTATGAAAGGCCGTGTTCTGTCCTGCGCCTCTCACCGTCTTCCTGTTTCATAGTCTGGCTTGTGTAAAATCTGGACATCCGTCGTCATTACCAGTTTTATACAAATCCTTCCAGATTCTCCTGCTTAGACTTGTAAAATCAGGAATCTTAACTCATCTGAGGCTCAGGTTGAAGATGTCAGAGAAATTTGTGTTTTTACATAATTTCAGCATCTTTTAAATTAACTAAGGAGGGTTTTTTTTTTACATTTTAATCTGAAGATTTTAGTTAAAGTATTTTATTTCATGTTTAGTTTTTTTTTACCTGACTAAATGTCACACTATTTCTTTTTTGTTTATTTTACAAACATGTACAGTATATAATGTTAAATCTATTTTTATACTCCCCATGTTCTGTGTAAATCATTTGTTCTCCAATTTGGATAGATATTGTGTAGTTCCAGCAATACGCCTTGCAGTTCATCTCTGGATATTGCCAATTGAACTTAAGCTTCACGTTTCTATGGCTGGTTATGTTCAAACTGCAACTAAGAGCTATGGCGAACTGAAGCTGAATGTCGTTTATTGCAAGTAAAGAGATTTTAGAAACATAATTCCTTGTGGTAACATTTTTTTCTGGTGTGTTTAAGGGCATTTCAGCAAGCTAGAATATTGTAACGTTTCTTTATTTTAGTAATTGTAGTCAAAAAGGAAAAGTCATATGGAGTCATTGTATGCCACTTATTTTTTCTAGTTGCAAGAAAAACTGGATCGAATATTGGATCATACACATTCATTTAAATAAAAAAAAATGATTCTGTTCAAAGATTGAAACTCATGTTTCACAAACAGTATTTTGTCTTGTCTTTCCCATTTTGAAGAATACCACTAGTTGAAGCCAACTAGTATTTCTCAAGTGGTACAATACAGAATAAAAAATATGCAATGTTGTATCGCTCAACATAACACAAACCCACAATATCACGCAGACATAAAAACATCACAAAACAGGTGTGAACAGTAAATAAGGGTGGCATAGTTTACATAAAATATCAAATCATGTCTCAGTCAAAATCTATGATGCTCCAGATCCAAAAGCTAAATGACTCACTTTGATTACGTGACATATAACGACATTGGAGTTGTTTAGCTACCAAAACAAAATACTATGGAATAAAGTTAAATCCTATAATCTCAGGAAACTGAATTTAATATTTACACTATTGCTCTTTTAAGCTGGTTGTAGCTGATGACGTGCTCTGCACTAAGAATGTTTATTCCTCCTTAATGACCTGCTGTTTACGCTAAAACTCCACCTTCCTCTCTTCATCTCCACTCCCACCCATGTCACCCACCGGCGCACTGTTAAGGAATGGACCCGTTGTCAAAAGCTGCAAACTAACTCCGCCCCTTCCACTCTTTCGTCCAATCAGTCCCCGATGCTTGGCCGGAAGTTTTGAGCGAAACGTACGCGGGAAATTGTTAATATTTTTGCTGCTGAACGACAGAGGAGGTAAAGTACACACTTATTATTAAAAGTAATATTAGTTAGCTAATGAGGAAAAAAGTCGAGTTTATCTATATCACAATATGCTTGATAGCATCTAATAGCATTAGATAAACACTATAATGTATGTGGCGACTGGCTTTTGAGTGAAATGCCTAGATAACCCGCTCAGTTTGGTGCTAACATTAAGAGCTAACCCTAGCATTCAGTTGAAGTATCTGGTAACAGTTTCAAAATATATTTTTTTTGGCGTAATTTATAACATAGGGTCCACCTTTGCTGTTTATGGACGCGTTATTTATTTGCACTATATTCAAAGTCATTTAAACTATCTTGTATATAAGCTAGTTTTGCATGTTTCCTCTATAAAGGGGTTAAAAATGAAGGTGGTGACTTGTGAGATAGCCTGGCACAACAAGGAGCCGGTTTACAGTCTGGACTTCCAGCACAACTCGGAGGGACGTTTTCATCGACTGGCCACAGCTGGAGTGGACACCACAGTCAGGGTGAGTGGAGAAGAAACATCCGCTGAGGTTACAATTTAGTACTTGATTAAAAAGCAGGGCTCAAAACCTCTTCTGTTTAAAACAACGGTAGGAGACATCTTAAGTGGCATCCAGAAGCTGACAGTACCAGTGATGAATATACTTTTTCCTTATGCCTGCCACTCATCTATAACCATGATGCGTTCAACAGTCTCATAATGTGTTGATGGTGCACTGTGCCGTCCAAAAGTATGCACACCTCTTTAAGTTTTTGACACTATAACAACTGTAACAAAAAAAAAAAATAAAGGTATTTTGAGTGCATGTGGGAGGATCTGTCTCTGCTACATGGTTAAAAGGCAGTAAAATATATTTAAAATGAGTAATATTGTGGCTATTCTTCCTTTATGAAACACCACTCTGTGGAGTGAGCGAAAAAAAAAATTGCTGAATCTTTACAAATCCACATTTTTGAGGCAAAGTGGCATTCGGTCTCATAGTATCTGCAGTCTGGAAAATTCTGAAAAAGTTAACATTGGATTTCACTATTTTCCAGGTATTTTTTTACGCGTTTGTCTAAATGTTGTGCTTTCTTTCTTTTTTGTGTCTGCTCTTACTAATAGCTTTCCTTCTTTCCGCCCTCCAAAAGCCAAAGAAAATTGTCTCTTGTAGCGTCCAGCACACTGCGTCTGTGTCATAACTCCTAATTATTTCACCGCATTGCATCGGCTTGTAAAGCGGAAAGCTGTGGATGTTCATGACGAATTTGCCTCATTTTCCCCAATTGTTTACGCAGCTGTGGCGGGTGGAGCAAGGTCCAGATGGGAAGGCCGCGGTGGAGTTTTTGTCTAACCTGGCCAGACACAGCAAGGCGGTCAACGTGGTTCGTTTTAGCCCAAACGGAGAGCTGCTCGCTTCAGGGGGAGACGGTACGTCTTGCAAAATAAAGTTTTCTTTACTTCTGTGTCACTACTTTTGTTTCATTAATGCATTTAGAACAGAGACATGTCCTGTGTCTTGTTTTTTTTTTTTGTTTTTTTTCTTGCATACAGATGCAGCTATTCTTCTGTGGAAGCTCAACGACTCCAAGGAGCCGGAACAGGCCACTGTGTTTCAGGATGAAGAAGATGCTCAGCTGAACAAAGAGAGCTGGTCTGTGGTCAAAACACTCAGGTACATAAGAACAGAGAGTGGACCTGTCTGCTATATAAAGATGCACACGGTTTCGTTGTTGTCTTCTAAAAATATATTTTTCTTGATGTCCGCTATGTAATAATTTTTCTGGCTTCAAACACTCACTGCAGTGGCTTAACTAGGACAGCTTCACATTTGCATCTTCCAGCTGTGCAGACTCCAGCGTAGACCGATGATGAAGAAGCTGCCTATCTGTTGATTGACTGAACTTTTTTTTTTTTTTTTTTTTTTTTTTTTTCTTTTTTTTTTTGGTTTTTTTACTTTTTTAAACTTTTTTTAATTTTATAAATTTATTAAA